GTTTGAAGTCACTCACCTGTTAGTCGCAACATTGCTTTATTTTTTTCCTCTAAAATTATACCCAAATATCTTCATGATCTAATATGCCACAAAATGATTTGCTATCCATTTATATTATGAGCTCATAGTATTACATCAGTGTTTTTATGGATACAATTTCATATCCCAAGACACTGCAGCAATGAATTCCTTATCACCATCTTTATTTTGTAATTCTTGAGAATAAGAGGAGTTAGCATGACATAGTCTTGGAACCAATGTATTTGAAATAAACAAAAATGTTAATTTTGTAGGATTTCTAGAATTTCCACAATCGAAAATTACATGCAAGCAACGGCTTCCGTAGAGATGACTACATTCTAAATTCAGATTAAATAAAATTCAGAAAAGACCTAGAAAACAGAAAAGGTTAGGAAATGTTTGCTAATGAAAGTCTGATGGCTCTTAAAACTTAATATCTGGTCATTTGCCACCATGAAGGGATAGATTACGCAAAAGCTAAGATAGAACAACAATCTCCCTTCAATATGTTAAGTTGAACACATATTTAAGTTGAAAATGAAAACATGTTAGAACACATATTTAAGTTGAAAATGAAACATGTTCCTCCCTCTATGGTTGGATACTTTACCAAGGAGTAGACGGTCAGACAGTCAAGGAGAAACGAATATAGCTTAAATAATCTGAAAACGATTCATCTGTTCATTAAACAAATGCTTATTGAATATCCATGGTGGACCGGCAGTGATTGGGGCCACAGTGAATAAGACCAAGCCAGTATCTGCTCTTTGGAGCTCACGTTTTTGTGGAGGAAGACATGACAATAGGAGGAAGCAAACAAGCCAATAATCACAACTGACAGGAGCAGCACTCGTGGAAATGAAGTGGGCGTGGTGATGACAACAGCTCCCTTAAACAGTCATCAGAGAGGTTTGCTCTGAGGAACGCGAGGAACAAAAGTGAAAACCCGTCACTTGAGGAGGAGCCTTCTAGGCAAAGGGGCAGCAGGAAATCAGAGGCAAGGACCAGGGGGTGGAAAGCATCATGGCGAATCACGGGGAGCAAAAACATGGCCACATGAGCAGGGTCTAGGAAATAAGGGAGGAAAAAGGTCCAAGGTGAGATGGGTTCAATAAAGGCCACACCAACTAGTCTTGAAAGTTGGGGAAAGTGGTGCATTTTATTCTCAGTGCTTTTGAAAAGGAAATAACCGGGTGGTTTTAAGCATGAGAATGGCATGACTCAATTTGTATTTTTAAAACATCTCGCTGGCTGCTGCTTGGGAATGGATTGGGGGGCAGCGGCCACAGAGACACAGAGGCAAGAACAGTCATCCAAGTAAATGAGGGGGGTGGTGTAGAGAGAGTCGTTTGATGGGAATGGAGATGGATGAAGTAGACGGATTTGAAATGTATATAGAAGGTGGAGCCACCAGACTCACAGCTGGGTCAGGAAAGAGAAATCAAGACATGAGTTTCTGGGTGGGGAGTCGATGCTGTTAGCCAAGATGGAGACAACTAGGGAGGAAACAGGTTGGGAGACAGGAGAAAACTGATGCGTCTTTGAGATATTGTTAGAGAGGTCAGATAGAAATATTGACTAACAAAATTGGCTATTCAAGTCGAGAGCTTAGAAGACAGGTGAGGAATGAAATCCCAGCTCCCTGGGAGGCTGAGGCAGGAGGATCGCCAGTTCAAGGCCAACCTGGGCAGCTGAATGAGACCCTGTCTCAAAATAAAATGATTTTTACAAAGGGCTGGGATTGTGACTCAGTGGTAGAGTGCTTACCTAGCATGGTTGAGGACCTGGATTCAATTCCCAGTACATAAAAGAAGAAAGAGAAAAGGAGGAGAATCAAGTAACTGCTTCAGACCAATGATGCCTCACACCTACAGATGTGATTACTTCCCTAGGGGATAGTGTAGGTAGAGAAGAGAAGCTAGCGCTGCAGGGAGCCGGGGAAGGTGCACTCTAATAAATCAAAGAGGAGACCCCAGCGGCAGAAATATAAAGAACTGTCAGAGAGCAGAGAGGTAAGAGAAAGGCTGGGAAATGTAAAATAAAAGAAAGAGGATTCCATAAAGCAGTGTGGCCAGCTGTGCTTAAGGGGATGCCTGAGAGGAGGGTTAGAGAGCTTGGAGTGGGGATGGCTGAGGAGGTTTTGGTCAACAGCGGACTGTTGGTGGTTCCCTAAGAATATAACAGAGCTGGAAAATCCCGGCTGCCTGGTGGTGAGGCAGTCAGAGTGACGTCACAGCACCATGCATTGCTTACGTGTCTGTATTGATGCCAGCTGCAAACAGTCCTACTGGGCTGCCAGGTGTATAAAAGCACAGCGCACATAACTTTGCACACTATAAAATACTTGGTAATGACAATAAACAACTGTGTTTCTGGTTTATGTGTTTACTATGCTATGCTTTCTAATCATTATTCTATCATTTATTTATTTCATTTTCTACAGCACTGGGAACAGAACCTGGGACATCGCACATGCTAGGCAAGCGCTCCGTCACTGAGCCCCAGCCACAGCCCCTAGTCATTATTTTAGGGTGAGCTCCTTCTGCTCATAGAAAGCAAAGTGTACTGTGGAGCAGTCGGCTGTGTGACCCCAGCAGCAGCCTTGGACATCCTGTGTGTGTTTGCCACGTATCACCAGACCTCGTGGAGGGACTGACCTAAATCATCCAGTTGATGTGTGCGTGCACTCTACGATGCTCGTGCGACACCACAACTGTGTAATGTTGCGTTTCTCAGGTGCACACAGGGCTGTACGTGGATTTGACAGTGTGGAAGTTCCTTGGGATGTGGATGAGGCTATCTCAGAGAGACTCCAGGGGATGGAAGCCCTGCCGTAGTGGGTGAGGCAGTGAACACGGAGACCGTGACACACCATTGGGAATCGTGCTGGGCAAGGGAGAAAGGCAGTAGTGGAGGGGCGGGGTGTCCGAGGAGCTGAGCAAGAGTAAAGTGCACCGGGATCCTGATGGCAGGGTCCAGGAGGCCACCAGCCTGATGAGGAGGGAAGGGATGTCATTATGCAAGTGCGTCACTCCCCAGGGGAAAGCAGGGGCTCGCCAGCCTCCGGAGAGTTCTAGCTGGACAGTTTATGCCGAGGTCCTAATCCTCAGTGGCGCAGACTAGGACCTTATTCAGAAATAGGGACACTGCCTTTGCCATTAGGATGAGATTGCTCTGGATTAGAATGGGCCCTTAATCCAACATAAAAAGACAGACATATGGAGCCTGATCTCGTGAAGATGTGGACACACCAAAGGAACAGCATTTGAAGAGGAGGTAAAGATTGGAGGGACACACAGGAATGCCTGGGGGAGGAGAGAAGGTCGTCCTGTAGACTTTAACGGGAGCCTAGCTCTGCCAGTGTCTTGGCTTTGGACTTCTGGCTTCCAGAACTGTGAGCAATAGTTTCCATTTCCTAGGCCACTTCATCTCCATTGCTTTGTTATGTCGCTGTAGAAAATAAATAGAGATTGCTGGGCTTGATGGCCCACACCTGTAATCCCAGTGGCTTGGGAGGCCGAGGCAGGAGGATCAAGAGTTCAGAGCCAGTCTCAGCAAAAGCGAGGCCCTAACCAACTCAGTGAGACCTTGTCTCTAAATAAAATACAAAATAGGGCTGGGGATGTGGCCCAGTGGTTGAGTACCCCTGAGTTCAATCCCTGGTACCCCCCAAAAAGAAAAAAAAAGTAGAGTTAGAAAGTAAATCTCTAATTTCTTCTTTTCCTCCTGCTTGTATTGGAGATGGAATTCAGGACTTTGAGCATGCTAAGCAAGCGCTCCACCACTGAGCGAAACCCCCAGCCCTTCTGGTTTCTTCTATAAAAAAGATGTATTTCTAGCTTCGTGGAATTTTAAATAACTCTTATATTTTATGAGAATCATGATAATTCCATTTAGTCTCTGACTGCTACCTCTGCGTCAGGCCTGTTTTTTCCTCTTGTTGCTATACATATTAAATTCCTTCCAGCCACCTTATTTGCATTTGAGAGCCATTTGAGAACAATTGCTTTTATTCCCCAATTTCTCCCCTCCCTTCCCCAACCTTTCATAGCACCATTATCTGTAACGCATATTACCATCTTCCCTTGCCCTCCTGTGTGTGTGGTTATTTACTTCAGTGACTTCTTCCCTACTGGGCAAGCTGCAGAGTGGAAGGGTCTAGGCTTTTAGATCTCAGTGTTTCCCATTATGCTTAAGACCATGCCTTGTATATAGTCAGTGTTGGACAAATATTTAAATATTGGCTAAAACGTTTTATGACAGTCTCTGGGAGGAAGGGGCCCCAGAGCAGCACTCACGAGTGTGTTCTAATTGGAAGATCACAACTGAGCTCTTCACCACCAGCGGCCATTGTTTTGCCTGAAACTGCTCACAGCTGTCATCTGTGTGAATGGAGTCCCCGAGGGCTCCGTGCTGGACCATCCCTTTCACCACTCAGACCTCTCATTGTCACAAGGCCACATTCTTCACTGCACGTCCTTAAGTAGGAAGCCCAGGAGAGATGCAAAGAAGAATGATCCAGGGTGGGGCTTTGGTGCCAGATACCTTGGGTTCTCTGTTACCCACCAAATCTCCCTTCAAAAGAGCCTCCTTCAGGGTGCAGAGGCCCCATGAGCTACTTTGATCCCCTAAGCATTCATGGCCGGCTACACTTGGCCTGGACTACTCCCTGGCAGCCCTTGAGCAGTGTGGGATCCTATGTTAGCTCTCTTCCACCCAAGGCCAGTTTCTCCCATTGATCTACCTCCCCAACCATTGGCCTGACCCATGGATCTGGGCAGCAACCTGAAGCTCTCCCCCTGGCTCACCCCCAGTCTTTCCTTCTCCCTCTCCATCCACGGGTTTCACAGCTGCCTATCCGTCTGAAGCATTTCCCTGTCCACTCGCCCCCTGTTGCTTCAACTTTACTTTCCATAGGTGTTGCTCCTAATAAATCTCATGCACTTTAGTCTCACCATGGTGTTCTCAGAGGACACAGGTTCAAATCCTAGCTCTTTTATTTATAACTTCAAGGTTTGACATCCAGCAAATAAACAGTTCCCTCCCCCATTTCCTCATTAGCAAAAATAGAGAAAAAACAGCACCCACTTTATATGGTTGTCGTAAAGGTGAAATGCAGTCCTCAGCGTGAAGCACTAGAATGGCTCTCAGGTATGGAGTCCTCTGTGTGAGCCGGAATGACTGCTTCAGTGCCCACCTGCAACAGGCATTTGACCACCGTGGTTGAGTGTTAAGCTGCAGTTGGAGGTAAGCATTCCTATTACTTCAGCCATCAACAGAATGTATTCCTGGATCTCTGGAGTGTGGAAGAGGTTGATTCTCCTCTCTCCATGATGGTTATTGCCACATTCTTCATCTCCGGACTGACCTGTCTCACTCCAGGACAAATTTCTGAGTTCCTAAGCACTTCATTATTTAAAAAAAATAATGAAAAAACTATATTAAATTCAAATCCAATGCTTCTGCCTTTATTCACATCTTCTTACTTCCTTACTCCTGGGTGAAAAAGAAAAATGGCTCTCGTCTTGTTTATGACAGTTAGGAAAAGTATGTCCCCTCTAGTTCTCCTTTGCTCTAGACTAAACATTCCAAGTTCTCTTAATGCCTTCCTTTTGATCCTCATTTCCAAACTATTTATCACTTCTCTCGTTCCCTGAATGCTCTCCAGAGTTCCAGAAAGTTGACATGCATTGAAGAAAGTTCTCCAAAAGAGGCTTAAGTGATTGGAAATAGAAGCAACGAGGACTTTGCCTGTCTTTCCCTAAGGCTTGCGATTAATAAAAGCCAGGGGAGGCAGTTTCTTCCTTTAATTTATAGCTCCACTTATTGGCGAGCAAGCCATAGACTAATAAGGAATTGGGTGGCAGGGACTGCTTTTGTGTCTGGGTATAGTTAGTTTAAAAGAAATTCAGTAAAAAAGAGTATTCTTAATGGAAAAAAACAAATAAACCTGCATTTGTTTATTATTGTTAAGAAGCTGATTTGCAAGACCTTATTATTATTTAATTTGTGCATCATCTGCTGGTAACCATCTAACTGAGATAAATTTCAAGGGTCATAACTTAAATTTAAAACATGCTCTAAAAGGTCATAACTTAAATTTAAAACATGCTCTAAAGGTTTGTTAACAACAAGCCAACAAGGGCCGAGATGTAGCTTGGTAGTACGGTAGTGCTCAGCCTGAGTGAAGCTGTGGTTTTCATTCCCAGAACCACCCAAAAATAAATAAATAAATAAAATAAAAGTCCCCACCCTTTAAACCTGATATAATGCCTCCTTGCTGGCAGTGAAAATACTCTATGGTGCCAACATAAAAACCTGGATTAGGATGCTTTCTTTTGGATCCTGTTTTCAAGTGAACACTACCTTTTGTGTTACTGGTCCTTATGAATCGGGCCTGTTTTTTTTTTTTATCTTTTCTCCATTCATTGAGAGTGAACATAAAGCCCAGTTCTCAGAGCCACCAGCATTCTGGTTTGTAGCAGTCACAAACAGAAGGGTAACAGATGATGCGTGTGGACTAGATCGGTGGTCTCTATGTATATGTTGGTGTCTATGGCAGGCAGAATCTAGGGCCCAAGCTACGAGGTTCACCAGCACAAGACCTGGCTCTGTGTTCATGACACCAGGTGGAAAGGCTTGAATTTCATCCACAGAATCATGAAGAAAACGATGCGTTTTCTCAGACAGACTGAAAGAGTCTCCAGGAATTTCCCCTTCCTGTGTGACTTTGGATTATCCAGAGAGACTTCCCAACAAACGCAGCTCAGGTAGCCCTGCTTCACTCAGATGCAAAAGCCTGGCCTTATCTCCAAATGAAATAAATGGAAGACAACCACTCAGAGGGGAAATTGGAGATTTAGGACAGCCTGGGGTAGGAAACAGGAGTGTGGTAGGGGACAGGAAGACCATAAGACAGTGAGTCTAAGGCTCCTAGAACTAACAGAGCTGTGCTTTTAAAAGCTTATCACCTGAAACTAAAAGCAGATTGAGAGAGAAAATTAGTTTGGCAGTGTGAAGCCCTAGTGTTAAAAATAAATAAATACCTTAATACCCTATAAGGTACACGTGTTCCCAAAAAAACAACAGACACTAAAACGGAGATAAAATTTAATTATAAAATACTTAAACACAACTCCTTTGCTTCACAAACTTCTCAGCTGTCCTGGATTTTTTCTAATCAAAGGAGGCTCTGGAAAAGGATCAACAGATCAGAGATGTAAACTTTGAAGAAAAGAATAAGATCTTGGTTAAGTTCAGCCCCATTAGTCTGACTTTGGTTCACATATTTAATTTTGCTGAAGTCACTTTGGAATGTCTGCAACCAGTAATTTTCCTCAGTTAGGAACAAACCTAGGAATGGGGATAAGAATGCAAAACACCCAAAAGTCATTAAGAATAAGGTAGCCCAGGAGTCATAGGGTTTTACGAGAAGCTATTGAATCGGACAATAATTTTCCTATCCATTCCTTTCCCATGATGGATTATATTCCAGTGCTCTGTCTGATCTTTCCTTCATCCATCTCTCTCCCTCCTGAAAACGCACACAAGTCAGATTTGGGGCATGACAGATGGGAAGGCTTCTGGGCTGGGAATCGGGACCCCCCCCCCACCCGAGGCCTGAACCTAGAACTGATACAAGGTGCATGATTCCGGACTCAAGAGTCAAGTCTTCAAGAGTCAAGTGAAGGGTTAGACTAAATATTTTCTATATTCGGTTGCTTTTATTTTTCTCATAGTTCTGGTGGGGGCAGCATTGGTTTCTCCTGAGACCTCTCTCCTTGGCTTGGGTATGGCCATCTTCTCCGTGTGTCCTGACATGGTCTTTCCTCTAGGGATCTGTATTGTCATCTCCTCTTCCTTTAAAGATACCAACCAGATTGGGTGAGAGCCCACCCTGTATTCCTTCATTTTACATGAGTTACCTTTTAAAGACCCTATCTCCAAATACAGTCATATTCGGAGGGACTAGGGGTTAAAATGTAGGCACATGAATTTTGGAGAGGACCCAGTTCTTCCCATAGCATTCTAAAAATGGACCTAATTGGACTTGTGGCCATTGGAAACTCTTTTTTAAGAACCTGGCCCCGTGGATTACTTTTTGCAAGGACATTAACCCTTCCATTTTACTCTCTCTTCAAGACTAATCCCACATATTCTTTCAGGTTACCAGAAACAGAATCACACTTGGATTCTTTCATTTGTTGTCCTGTTTTTTTTTTTTTTTTCATAGAATGCAAAGGGAAGGAAGCAAGACAGGATTTAAGCCACCTCCAGCAAAGCTCTGTAGAAAAGAAAACATTGTTCGAGGTACCGTGAAGCCCCATGAATCTGGTCATCTTGTTTCTTTAGGGAAGAAATCCATTGGTCTCTACTCCAAATGACGTCATCAGACAGAGACCTCCACTTTTTTTCAGCCTCTACTGCTCCTGCTGCCTCGTGGTCTCTCTGATGTCTCTGAGTTCCAACTCTAGGACGTGGACCTGAGTGGGCTGGCCAGTCAGCAGTCACTGCACAAACTGCCTCTGTTGGACCACTCTGCTCTTCCACCAGACCCTTTATCAGCCATTGCGTAGCCTGGTGATGGCTGGCCCCATCAGTCATCTCTCTCTGGTCTTATCAGTCTGGTGGTAAGACCATGTGGTTCTAAATGATGACCAAGGACATCCTTGAAAGGACATGGAGTCCTTCATGGTTCACTAAGATTTCACAGAAGCAGAAAATCAAACAGTAGGAACCTAACTGAGTACAATCATGCATCGCTTAATGACAGGAATATGTTCCCAGAAATGTGTCATTAGGAGAGTTTTTATTATGTGAATATCATACAATGCCTTACACAAACCAAGATGGCTGCATCAGTAGGTAATATAATCCTACGGGACCACTGTCACATTTGGGATCTTGTCATGACTGAAACTTTGCTGTATGGTGCATGACTGTGTTCCTAGTGTATTCTACCTCCTTCCTTCATGTATCAAGAAATTAAGAAGTAGTTGGTATTCATGCCTTCACTGTCTCACCTTCATTCCTCTTTAGCCTAAATCTCTGAAATCCTGGCACCCTGACTTCTGAACCCACCCACCTTTCTTCTCTTAACTCAACTCAAATTAGCTTCTAACTTAATATCCGTCTTCCTTTTATCAACTTTGTTGCTGTGTTTAAAATCATTGAGTGACCACTCCTGCCTTGGCTTCTGTGACTGTGTTATCATGGGAGAAGGAGAGGCAAACTGTAGGGAAAGTTCTGGCATCCATGGACCTGGGAGTGAACCCTGACTCTTCCCAGCTCTGTCCCATTGTGCACATTAATTCTATGTCAGTTCAGGATACTTTATTTTTGAGGTAGCTATTATAGTTGGTATGATTGTATAATGGGTGGAAATTCCAGATAACAACAGGGTTTGGGTTTAGACAAACAAGTAAGTAGATGGATGCTCAAGACCTTATACCCAATTAGATGACAAAATCTATTGATTCGATTTCCAGAAGGTCTCCCAGATTTATTCCTCTTCTTTGCTCCTACCACCCTGGTGGAACATCTCAATCAATCCCTTTGTCCTAGCTTAGTAGTTAACTGAGTTCTAAGTAGTTCTTGCAAATCCCAGGGAGATTCCTCAGGGCCCTCTGTGGGTGGGAAGACAGAAAAGTGGTTTGTCCTCTGAGCAGAATCCCATACTGCCTCTCACTTTTAACAAGGTCAATTCTTTTTATGTTTTATATTTTTTTATGTTAAGAAAATATTTTCATTTTGTTTTATTTTAAAAACCCCACTAGCCCACATATTTATTCTGCCTCGGAACTCATCTATCTTTAAAGTGCCTCTTCTACAATGTACTTTGTAATCAGTTTCAGATTATTTCTCCTGAAGCACATTTCTGATCTTGTCATATCCCAATGTCTGCAAATGTACTGTTCAATATGGTAGCCATTAGCTATATAGGACTATTTAAATTAATTAAAATTTAATTAAAGGTTCAGGTTTGTAGATGCAACTAACCATATTTCAAGGGCTTGGTATCCAATATGAACTAGTGGCTGCCATTTTTCACAGCTCAAAACATTTCCATTAATATGGAACTTTCTATTGGACAGAAATGCACTAGATAACTAAATAAAAGGTTCTGATCTTTGCTGATTTTTTCCCCTCACTGTAATGTTTCCGTAAGACCTAGTTGTCTCGAGCATACTCACTTATAACCCCACATCTCAGCTTACCAGCCCATGTAAGGTATCTTTTGCACCTTCATTGCATACCCAAATATTACTCCCCATTTAAATACTTTCCCCCATGAAGTCCTTACTAATTTCCCAACTGAAAGTATTTCACTCTTCCTGTGAATGCTCAGGAATTTAAATGAAGCACTCTAGTATTTTCAGCCACATTTCTTCTAGAATTATAACTAT